ACTTATAATAATTTTATTTAGCTCAATCAAAATTGCTTTCGGTAAAAGAAGCTGATAATCTATTAAAAAAACTTGAGTTTAAATATTTAAAAATAATAATATTTATTATATTTTTATATTCTTATGGTAAAAAATATTTTCTTATTTAATAAAAAATTACCATTTAATAATGCTAGTAATACACTTCTTCCTGACACACTCTTTGTAAATACTTCTTCCTGACACACTCTTTGTAACATACTTTCATGTTAGCTAAAATCATAAGAGTCACATTTTATTTTTTTTCATTCTTAAATTAATATTTCTCATTTATAGTTTTAGTTTTCAATAAATGTTAAGTAACAACAAAAAATTGTGTTAAAAAGAGAAGATTAGAGAGTGAGTTGTTAATATTTCTCTAATTTAAAATAAAAAGTAATTATTTTAATGATATAATGGTATTTAACTGGTGCGAATATTCTATATGAGAACTGGCGAATTAATGACTTACGAATCAAACAGCCATGACTACTGTACATGGTGGGTAGGAGAGTGGCATATGAAAGATATTTTTCAATGTGACTCTTAAGAATGAGATTCGTATAACTTACGCTATGAAATTTTCGTCATTTCACTGCTAAATGCAAAACTTGTGGTCTCATCCAATCGTTTTCTCTCTAATGGAATTTGTATTATTAGGAGAATTCGTGCTCAACTTCGTGTAATTCCCTTTGTGATAACTTGCAATGTTCTATAATTATTTCATCTTTGCAAGTGTCAAGGAAGTGTGTGTGAATTGGGGTTAGACTTCATTGACAATATTATTAATATAACGGATTGATTATAATTTTTATTTTCTCTATTTAAAATACAAAATTATATAATATTTTATAACGATTATCAGATTATTAAATAATTTTCATGTATGGTGTGTAATTAAAATTCATTATTTTACCCTCAAATTTAAAAGCCCCTTTGTGCTCACCGTTGGAAAGTTCGAGAGTTTAATTCCTCACTCTTTCTTTGTATGTTACATGCATTTTCACATACTTTCCAAGATACTGAAACTATTACAAAAATTTGCTTTGGTCGAATGGAAATTTACGACATGAAAGGAAACAAACTTTTTAAATTTTATCGAATTTTATTACTTATTTTTTTCTCTTTTTAATTTTTTTTTCTTTCTATCTCCCCTTTTCACCCATTTAACACATAAAAAAAAATATCAACGTATCACTTTTTCTTATTTTCAATCTTTATTATGTCGCATTATAGAAATCAAAGGTTCATGGTGATCCATGCCCTATTTTCTGGCAACAGTACTAACAATTGTTGTTCATCAAATTAAAGACCCTGAGAACACACTCATGATTCTCAAGCCTCAGTCAATCTAATATTAATTGTTGCATGCGTAACTTCACATTAAACTGGCAACAGGAACAAGAAAATAACTTTATTGGCTTTTTGTTTACTATTACATGGCTAGTTACAATGAATATGGCTCAACAGTGTGCTCTTTGTCAAAGAAACCTGCGAACAATTACTAGGTGGCTAGATCAACTTTCCTTTCTTAGACATTCTTAGCATGTACGTGGGGCAGAGACGTTGGTCAGAATTCAAGTTCTCCCAGCACAGAATTTTCTCGTAGACTATACTCTTAGTCTTTTGTCAATTAATTCTTGGACAATAGATTCAAAGTGAATGCAGGAGCTTTTATGTATACGACCGTTAACTCTGTTTACATTATTTGTTTTCGAGAAAATAAGAACTATCGATTCTATCATGACAGATATTGACTTCTAATACAAACAAGTCATATATTATTCATGAAGAAGAGTGTTTTAGAATGTATTCTCTAACATATTTTAATGTATTTTCATTAAATATCATGAAATTATACGTAAAATCAATAAATAGAGAATATATGTGTACATTATTTCATAATATTTAGTAAATTTTAATTAGTAAAAAACATGTTTAAAAATGCAAAAATTGTTTATAATTATTAATATTTTTATTAATAGTCAAGATCCGTGGAATACGATCATACAAAAAATGCTTTATTAATATTTTTTTTTACTTTTTTAATACGTGTCTAAGAGCGTGCAATAAGATTTATGTATCATAAGTTTTTATTTTAAAAAATATATATCATAATCTCAGTTACTAATATTGAATGTTACCGTTTTCAATACAAATATATTAATTTTTAACGTGTTTGTTGGCACACATTTAAAAAATTGAATTGTTTTTTATTTCAATACTGAAATTTAATGATTTTATTTATTCATTAAAAGTGTAAAAAAACATATTTTATTTTTTTCTACTTTTTTATAAAGCAAGTTAGATCTCTATGAAGATATAACAGCAATTCTGTTTTAACTTAGAAAGTGTTTAGAATTATTTTTAAATTTTGCACTATCTAATGTGTTATATTTAAAAAAGTAGTTAGATAACCGTTCTAAAAAAGTACATGTCACTTAGAGAACAGTAAGAAAGATAAAAACAAATATGAAAGACACCAACTTTGTTAACACAAAAAAAATGAAAAAAAAATTTAAAAATGTAAAAGATACTAAATTTGTTAGCTATAAAAGATGAAGAGAACTTACATATATAAAAAAAATTTATTAGCAAGATAAAATTCATAAAATATAAGTTAAGTGTGTTTCATTTATAAAATTAAAAAAACTCTAAATAACAGTTATTTGTTAATTGTTCTCAAATATTATTATAGAACAATTTTTACTGACTATTATTTAAGTTAAAGAATATTTAAAACTTTTTAAATATTTTTTATATTAAAGATATAAAAATATAATAAATATTTATTTTATAAAATCTTGCTATTATAAATTGATTACATTCCACCCTAAACTATAAATTAATGAATAATATAGTTGTGTCGGCGTAAACCAAAAAGATAGTGAATAATATGATGTGAAAAGAAAATATATAAAATGAATATAGAAAATGAATTTTATATATAAAAAAATCATGTTAAAAGAGTAATTACCATTCTTTATCGTCAAAATTTGTATGCTATTAATTCTCAGTTGCTTATTTTTAGGTTTATGCTTAATGCATGGTCCAATAAAATCATGAAAATTTATGGGTCTTGTTAAGCAGCGATTCAAAGATATTAGTTAAAGAATTAATGCATTAACAAGTATAGATGTGAATTTATTTTTATATTTTTTTAATAAAATACTTTTATTTATAAATTTTTTAACAAGTGTCCTAAAAGCATTTGTTGGGATTTTCCGAAGTTTATTTATGTTGTATTCGTGTTGTTGAATGAATTTACTCTTACGTGTATGAGATAAAAAAGAGTTTTGAAATTATAGAGAATAAATTTATTGGCAAATGATTCACATAAATAATTTTGAATATTTCTAAAATTTTTATATATAATTTATATGTTTAAAATTTTTTATTTAATGGTTGATTTGAAAATTAAATTAGTTAATAAAAAATTATTAAACAATGTAAAAGTATGTGTAAAAAGCATATATATATATATATATATAAAACGTGCAACATGTTAGTCAAACTGATATTTCAAATATTTACATAAAAATCATATACTCATGAACCGTTGCCTAACACTTTATTAATAGTTCATTCAAATGTTTAATTAGATTTGCTAAGATATTAACTATGCCATCAAAATCAATGTGAAGAAAAGGGAAAACGAAGAAAAATTGCAACTGAAAAAAAATAGACTAACTTTCCCATCACCACAAAGAGTAGCTAAATATAACGAGAAGAATTGAAGATTGTGATCAGACATCACGTGGGAACCTTACTCACTTAAAATTGTAATAAAGAGAGAGAGAGAGAGAGAGAGAGAGAGAGAGGTTTCAGGCATTGGGAACTCAGGTTTCAATTTCAACTATACGAAATAAAGAGATGCAAAGCTCAGATGCAGGAAACAAATCTACTATATATAGACATATAATTCTTTGAAATAAAAAGGCCAAAAACTAAAATCCAACAAGTAATACAGTTCTTTTTCTTTAAGGTGGATACTAACTAGTGTCTTTATATATTAAAAGAAATTTTAAAAATTATTAAAAACTATTACCTTTATCATGGTTTTTAATAAAAATATTCTATTTATTAATTTTTTTATTAATACTATTAAAGCATTAATTAATTAGAACTCTTAAAGTTAAGAAATTTCGGAATTTTACATTTAAATTTTTATGTTCATGTTCCTCTCATAGAAATTGAATCAAACCCCACATTAACAAATTAAAGTCACTTTCGAAAAGACCCTTTCATTATCTTCCTCTCCTTTTCCCCATACATGAAGAAATGGATGGTTTATGGAGCATGAAGGGTGAACCTCAAGTCTCTTTCTCTCGCTCTCAAACTTTGAATTATTTTAATTTATTTCTAAAAAAACTCTGAATCTGAAAATTTTGTAAAAATAAAATTAAAAAATGTAAAAATTTAAGTACGTATTTTTTTAAAATTTCAAAATATGTCCTCCTTTATCGATAGTATAATTGCATTTGTTTAGAAATAGAATATAAATTGCTTAAAAGTAGTGCAATTTAATTCTCCAACACGAGAAGTTAAATTTTAGAGCGGGTTGAGATTGTTGGAAGGTCTATTTTCAGTCCATAAATACCTGTCTGCTAGGCCAACCCACTTCCATATTTTGCATCCTTTGTACCTGAGTTCAAGATTAACACCTTAGAACTACATATAGTGCTGATTCACAAGGTAGACATAATAGCCTTGTTTGTTTCATCCTCTTACCCAAAATTTTCTTTGTCTATTATTATCTCTTTTCATGGTTAGTGGACTGCTTATAGCACACCAAAGTCTAGATCACAAAAAACCATTAGACACATCCATCCATTTAACACCATTTTTTTTTATTTTCTAAATTTCCCTTTCTCTTGAGTTTATTTAATTGTTATATTTTGCAAACATATATATTTTTAAATTATTGAATAAGGGTATTGGGTCATTTAATTAGTTTTGGCTATTTCTTTTAGTTTCAAACCATGGAGCTTCCCAATAATCAAGCTCAAGAAGGATCTTCTCAGAAGAAAATGGGAAGAGGGAAGATTGAAATCAAACGGATCGAGAACACCACAAACAGGCAAGTCACCTTTTGCAAGCGCCGCAACGGGTTGCTGAAGAAAGCCTATGAATTATCAGTGTTGTGTGATGCTGAAGTTGCTCTTGTTGTCTTCTCAAGCCGTGGTCGTTTGTATGAGTATGCCAACAACAGGTTTCACAAACACAACTCCTCTTAATTTTCCAACCTCCAAAATCTTCAAGATTCTTAATTGGTTCTATCTGGTTTTGTTTATTAATGGCTAATATTTGGTATAATCGTCTTAAAATGTGTCAAACTTGTTATAACCTTATATTGGGTCATGAAAATTTTGGTTTTTAAATATCATAAAATTGATACTTAAAAAAGTTTTAATTTAATTTTTTTTTTTTAGGTTAAGACCAGGTTGCAATTATTTTCTTCATTTCAAAGTGACTATTTGCTTTCTCCTAAAATCTTAAATTTGTCCCTTTTGGTTTTGTTTTCTTTCATTAATTTTATTTTCCTCTGAGCTTTGTAGTATTTGTATAATTTATTTATCTCTCACCCTTATTACATTTTTATTCTTGTTCCTCCAACTGTTCGTTTGAAAAGTTGCAGATCTGTAGTAAGGCATAGAAATAGGTGTTAAGAAGATACTAGGAGTAGCACATATATAATAGATGAAGAAAAGGAACAGCTTTAAATATAGTTGCAAAGATTTGCAGGTCAGAGATCTTAGCTTCTTTGTGTATATTCTCCCATTCTCTTAAGCTTTTTCCAATTCTTTTCCTTTCTCTCTCTCTTTCCCTCAACACGTCAACCATAAAACCCACCAAAGCCTGCCACATGAAGCTGTCTTACACTCCTTGATCCTCTTCTCTTCTCTTCATCACGATCACTTTTTCTTGATACTCCTAATTAACTTGTCAGCTCATCAAATTCCAAGTTAGGGTTTCAGATTTTTCACTTGTTACACCCAAATCTGTTCATGTCTAAGTCTTTTAGCGAATCCGAGATATAGACATGTATACCAATTCAATTACCCCATTTTGTAAATGGAAATAATAAAACATGTCTTGATTTATTACCGTACAAGTTCGTAATGAAGAATAACCTATCAAAAAAACAAATATTAGGGCTTCTGGGGTCAACGATTTCATATTCCTTTTAAAGTTGAAAGACATTTTTTCTCATTATTCTGTCACAAATTAAGTTGTATGCAGAGGTTCATGAAAGTCTTAAATTTGTTCCCCACATTATTCTGTCATAAATTTTGTCCTTTACATTATGGTCGAAGATACTTGCTGCAGTTAGGGTTTCCCATCTCGTGTTGGATTTATCAATGTCAATAACTCATTGTTTCCACAAGAAATTTCTGGCAGACGGGTTTGATATATTTGCAATTAGTTTCCAAAAATATCTTGAAATGATTTACTAAAACTATATTGAAGCTTATGATGGAGAATTGAGTAAAAGTTATGAACTAAGGTCCTATTTATATTTTTTTTATAAATAAAAGATAAACAGAAAATATTATTATATAACAAATGTTATCCTTTAAGAAATTTAAAAAATATTTTAAAATGTCATTAAAGTTTTCTTTAGTTTTTAATGTATCTTAACATGATTCCTAATAAAATCATTATTTTAAATTTTTTTAATTAATATATGTTCTACTTAGCAAGACTCAAAATTCTTTAAACTTTAATATTCTTTTCTTATTTGTTTTTAAGTAAAATAAAATACAGCCGTTTTCCATTAAAGTAAGGGTCATAAAATACGATTCATCAGTCATGTGAAGTATTATTTCTTAGTTTTTCACTAAGAACAAATAGGGCTCAGTGATATTTATTCTTCCCCGCAGGGTATTTCATTCACTATATATATGTATATATAATTGTCAAGATAATTTTCTTTCCCATTTTGCAGAATTTTTAAAATATTAATATCTGGAAGAGGTTATATATTATAGTGTTTTGGTGTTATTCTTTCTGGATCGTTTGTTTTTTACCCTGAGTTGCTAAAAGTAACACCATGATATCAGATTCTAAGAATGGCTAAAAGCAAAGCACCCCTCTCCTCTCATCTTTTTTCATTGTTTTCATCTTTGAGGAAATAAAGCTTCTACTCTTGACGTCAATTTTCTACCTACTCTCAATTATGTGTTTTGGGAATTTCAATGAAAAAGGAAGGTTACATTTACATTATTACAGCCTTATATATGAATATAGTGTATAGTCCTCTTCGTACTCAATGCATTAACTATTGGTATACTAGTTTGTGTTTGAAGTTTGAATTTTAAGAATTAGTTCAGAGAGAGAGAAAGGGGTTTGCATTCTTTAGAATATTTCAAAGAATGAGACTTCACATATACGGATTCAGCTTCAGCTGGATAGTGTTCTTATAAAAATATAAGAAACAAAGAGAGTACGATCCAATGAAAATTTCTGAGTTGATGACATTTGTTTCTTAGTTTTCCAAAGTTCACTGACACTATATATCTTTTAGTTCTTCGAAAGAGTAATTTGAATAATATTTGCAATTCAAAGGGTTTGTAGCAATCGAGGCGTAAGAATTAGGGATTCTCACGGTTATTAGACCCTCGGTAATGGGGCAGTAGTAACACGTTTTCTCAACTTAAGAAAAGGTTTTATTATTATAGTTCACCCAATAAGTTTGCAAGATATATATATATATATATATATATATATATATATATATATATATATGAATAAGTTAGTTTTATGAGCATTGCAAGTCTTTAATTAGTGGAAGAATTGTAGTTGTATAAAGTTTATAACCTCAAAGTTCTTTACCCTTTCATTATTTTTCACTACATGATTGCATTTATAGCTTAAACCTCAAATTGAACCCAAAATTTAGTCTAAATATTTGATAAAATCAATGATTTTCAGAGAAATTAAGGTTGTGTTTAAATAGAAAATTTTAAAATTTTAAAAAATATGAAATTAACAATGAAAAATGATAATCAAATATAAAAAAATAATGTATGATAGTTATAAAAAAGTTAATATAATAGAAAAAAAAATTAAATTTTCTTTTAAAACTTGTCATTTGAAAATTTTCTATTTATTATTAAAATTATCTTACTAAACGTGCAGAATATAATAAAAGATGGCTTATATTATATATATATATATATATATATATTCAGCCACACAAACGTTTTATTTCACACTATATGAATTTTGTTTAAACATCATATTGCACCGTGCAATATACAACCACATTGAATATATACAGTATAGGTAAACAAAATAAACTCTAAATATCTAGAGTTGTGTTTGGGAATATTTCCAAAATGATATATCATCATCCATGTATGATAAGCTCAATTTACACGCTAACGATGTAAATGTGATACAAATGCCAGTTTCAAGTTGGTAACTTAGTCATATATATATATATATATATATATATATATATATAAGATTTCGTGTCTTCAGATGATAATGATGCATATTTCTTACGGCAAATGGTGTACACATGATTTTACACATATAAAATTTCAATCTCAGCTCTTAATTTAAGAATTCAATGTCTAAGAACAATGATTTCTCTTCAGTAATATATATAATGCCGAGTTAAATGTTTCGGTCAAGAAATTAATTGTTGTATATCACTGGTTTATGCAATTAATTGCTTGTATTGATTGTATATATTTGGCAGTGTTAGAGCAACTATTGAAAGGTACAAAAAGGCATGTGCTGCTTCCTCAAATGCAGAATCTGTGTCTGAAGCTAATACACAGGTGAAACTATTCAGATAACTAGTATAAAAGAGTGGAATGGATCACTTGTCATGTGCTGAATCTTACTGATTATATATTAAAAAATTTATAAATAAAAAATAATTAATAGTATTAAAATAAACGTAAATTTATGATTATTCAAATATAAATCTAAACACTAACTTAATTTTTTTGGAAGAGTAATGAAACATTGATAACTAGCTTGACCCTGTAAAAAATTTAGAAACCCATCCCCACTGCGTTTATTTATTTATTTGCTAATTTCGTAATTTTTAAAAATTAGCAATATATCAAATATATTTTATATCTAATTAGAGCAGGTATCCCATGTATTATGGGTGTTTACATAATACATGTAAAATATGAAAATATAAACTTAATAATATTTAAGGAAGAATATTTTACCAGGATTAAAAATATAAAATATAAAAACAAAAGTGTTTGAAAACTTTATTTAAGGAATATAACACTTTATAATATATAAAGGTGAACGCTGAAAACTTAAATAAAAAAAACGATTAAATATATATTATTATTAATACAAATATGTAAAGTCAACTTTATATCTTAACTGTATAATATTGTAATTTATTTATAATCTAGTTAAGTTATAATATGCATTTGAGGTTAGTGTTTGTATAATTATATCTCCATAAGCCATGCCATCTACAGTTTAGTATGTCACAAAATTAACTGTTTTTGTATATAAGTCTTTCTATTTGGTTAATTATTTTTCATTTAGTATTAATTTTTAATTAAAGTTGGACTTTTATCTCAAAAATATGTAATAACATTTAATTCTTATCTTTTAACAAAATAAAATACTAATTTTCATTGAAAAGCAATACTAAAAAAACTTTAAAAAATTGCCTAAAATTTCTCCACAATTTACTGTATTTTAATTCTCCGCCATAAGATTCTGAAACACATTTTATGTAAGTATGACTAACACTATATCAATATCAGTTTTACCAGCAAGAATCATCCAAATTGAGAAGACAAATTCGAGATATTCAGAATTTAAACAGGTTAATTTCTTCTTGATGTGTATTTTTTTAACATACTCTTTCCACTGGATAAACCCATCAATTAGTACAACTTTGCTTTGCAGGCACATCCTTGGTGAAGCACTTGGTTCCCTGAGTCTTAAGGAGCTAAAGAACCTCGAGGGTAGGTTGGAGAAAGGTTTAAGCAGAGTTAGATCTAGAAAGGTACATTAATACAAGCTTTTAGTATGACAACTATTTAAGGTATTTGGTATGTAGACAATATAATTCATTTGGGGGAATTTTGAAGAATAAGTATATTCTCACACTTTTTAATTTAACAACATTTTATATCTGAATTAAAAGCATCTATCATTTACTAGTTGATATTTCTAAAATGTAAACTTTTTCATCAATTACTAAAAATATGGGTAAACAAGTCACACAGATGAGAGTAAATTAATTGAGTAAAATACAAGTAGAAAAGAGCTTTAAAATTTTATATTAAAACCTAGTTTGAGTGAGTTTGTAAATATATAAAAGAAGAAAAATAATATAAAAAATGAATAAAACACTTGTTATATGTTAAGATTAACTTACTCTATTTTTCAGAGGAAAATTTCATTTATTTTTTTAAATTTGAAGAAATAAATTATTTTTAACTTATAAAAAAAATTATTCATTTTTTATATTATTTTTTTCTTACAAGGATTTAGTAATTTAAATTATATGCTTAACCAATTATTTGGAAATGTACATTATTTTTCTTGCTGTTAGTATATGTTTTATTCCTTTGGACTGACGCACTCTAAATTTTGCAGCATGAAACCTTGTTTGCTGATGTTGAGTTTATGCAAAAGCGGGTATTAATAATTAATCTCCTTTCGTATTATTAACTTATGCTTTGTTTGTTTCTGTATATATTGTAGTCGATCACCAGCACCATGCTAAGGTTCCAAATAAAATGAGAACATAGAAGCTGTATTCATTACGTATAATCTTTTATCTACTCTTCTCCCCTATAAAAATAAAGGATTGTAGGTGCTAAAAATTATGAACATCATATTAAGATTCAGTTTTATATCAATGTTATACAAAGGTATCAAATTATAATCTTTTAAGTTGAAGTAACTTTTACATTGTTTAATAACTTTTTATTAAATAATTTAATTTTAATTATATAGATCATATTTGTAAAATTTTAGATCAATTTAAAATTATTTATACCTTATTCTTATGCATCTATTTAACATAATATATACATTTAAAATATATAAAAATAAATATTTTTTTATTTTGTCACAAATAATCAAAATAATATATAATTATAATACATATTCAATTTCGTTTTGCTATTTACTGCCATTGTAACACTGAAATTGATACGAGCTATGGAGTTAATAAAATATAAATTATTAAATAAGGTGACAAAATTAAAAAAAGACAATTATGTGTTAGAATAAAAAATAATATTTATAACTTTTATATATGGTATTTTTTCTAATTCCAACCCTTAACTTTATTATGATATAATTTTAATATATAGTATTATAAAGAACAGAAATTTATAAGAATCGCACACATATATAGATAAGATTTAAATTAATAAACTTATTTTATAAAATAAAATTAAAAATAAGTACAATGAACAAAAATATATTTTGATCAGATGATAAAGGGCAGCAATAACAATTTTGGGTGCTAGTAATTGTTTTTAATCACTGTTTATGAGTTAATTTATCGTGTGTCTTCGTTATAAATCTTCTTGATAAACTAATTTCCCTTTTAACTGGAAAGCCTACTTGTAATTTGATTTCACCATATTGATCCTGGTTGAAATTACAACATATTAATTCTATGCTCCATTATTAAAAACGGACACTGAAGCAATAAAATCATCTCAATTTTGAGCCAAAATATTTACACTGGTAAACTCATGCTGACATAATTTTGTTGATAATATGCAGGAAATTGAGCTGCAAAACCATAATAATTATCTGCGAGCTAAGGTTTCTCTCATTCCCTTAACACACACTAATAATCAATCTGAAGTCACATAAATGTGTTGTATTGTATCATTAATCAATTGAGTGGAGTGAATGATGAAATTGTTGACGAATGGTGCAGATAGCTGAGCATGAGAGAGCTCAGCAACAGCAACAGAATATGATGTCAGGAACTCTGTGTGAGTCCCTTCCTTCACAACCATATGACCGCAATTTCTTTCCTGTAAATCTAATAGGTCCTGATCATCAATATTCACGTCAAGACCAAACTGCTCTCCAACTAGTGTAAGCAGTTCATCTTCCACTATTCACAATTGATTGCTAAATTACTAATTAAGTCTGTTTAAAAATATTATGAAAAGTTTATATTTATAGAACTAACGCAAAAATTATAACTACTCCTGTTAAAGTAAATGTGAACTATAACAATTGAAATATTGAAATCTCAATCTAAACTAATATATTGCTTAAAGAATTATGAAAACTGTGATATATGGGTATTTGAATGCTTCATGGGGCTGAATGACCAATGCAAAAGTTATGTATTTTCTTTCAACAATAAATGATCAACACTGTCAATAAAAGTGCTATAGTTATTTTATAAGCTACCATGCAGTAAGTTTTGTTTATTTCACGTAACTTTTTTACACTTACCTTCGCATTTATTGGAAAAAAAAGTTTTTTGTTCTATGTCCTCTCTTTTTTGTAAAAATGGTTTTGTCATACTTTCAAGGATGTATCTATTCACCTTAGGATAATGAGAAACAAAGAGAAAAAAAAAAAATTAAATATGATGAGTGATGTGATGGGAAGTAAAGAGTGTGTGTAAAAATTGTAGGGGAAAAATTTTAAATCTCCTTCTTCTTTTTTTCTGTCAAGTTTACATTTTATAAAATGTAAACTTTGAAGGGCGCACTAAGCATGAAGTTTTCTTGCATGGTGAGGAAGATGTTAAACCTTCTCCAAGGTTCAAAAAAAATTAGAGAAGAAAAGGAAAGGGAACAGTTTGTTAGATTTTGTGTTGTCTTTTTTTGTTGTATAATATGCTTCTACGTTCAGTTTAAGTTTATTGTAGATTTATTAAGAGGTCGTTACTCTACATAGTGATCATGATTTTATTTGCTTGTTGTTTTCTATACATAAGAACATGAGAAATGCATCCATCACACTTTTTCAAATATACTCTTTGTTATTAACTAAAATTTATTAAAAATATAAAAATATGTAGGCCCTATTTTTAATTTATGAGTCATATTCATACTTTTGTAATTTTAGTGAATAATTAAAAATTACCACATAAAAAGCACGTAAAAACATAGTTTTTAACACTCTTCATAGCAACATTCTCCATTTTTGGCATGCTCCTAACTTCCCATTTTTCATCTTTGAATGCAGCTGATATGCTGGAAAAGCCACTGGATGTTGTGTCACAGTCTTTATATGTTTAATCTATTTAAATACTTACATGTAGTGTCCATATAGTGGAGAGCCCATAAGGGTATACATGCCTGTGCCTTTAGAATTACTTTGCTAAAGGTCATTGGACTGTGAACTAAATGAACCAGCATTTTGGGCCCATATTTCATACAATATTGTTTATGTATCTTTAATAAAACAACTAGTTTATAAATTTTAATGCCTTATACTTGTGTCTATTTTGGCCTCCTACTATAAAATGACAGTTTTAAAGATGAATTACTTGGTATAGTAAATTTGAAAAGAATGGGGTGTCAACACATCATACACAAATTTCATATTTTTCCACCAATTTATTGCCGGTTTTGAAATTCTTATATATATATAAGCTAAAATATCCCTCATCATTATTTTGATTATAATTTTTTCAAACATGCTCTGATATATATATGAAAAGGTGTTAGGGGAGAGGTTAGATGAGGGAGCCTTAGAAAAAACCAGTAAACATAAGTTTATTTTCATTTTTCTAAAAGGTTTAGTTTATTTTACTTTCTTTCTTCATAAATATTTATAAAAAATTTTATCCAACCTAAAATTTTTCTTGACCTTCAATAAGCGCTTCTATCCTTCACTTGTCTTCTTTTTAGTTTTCTTCATTCAATTTTGTTCCTTTTATCCTGAGACTTCAAATTTGCCCAAAGAAAATATGAAAATGATATTCCAAATTGGTCTTCTTCCTCCTAATTTCGGTAGGAGAAATTAGTGTAGAATATTTCATTCTCGTTGCTCAATTTAGTCCATTCAAAACTTCATTACCAGAGAATTTTCATTCTTTGACAAATATGTGACAATAATATACAGTGTGAAGAATATTAAAACTTTTGAAATCATGGCCTAAAGAAGTGTCAAAGCTGGAGACCTGACTAACAAGTGGATCAAAGACAACTATCTTCTCTTTGAACTTAAATTAGACATTTATATGTAAGATCAGATCAGGCAAATATTTAATGACTCTTTTTGTTTCATTAATAATGTGTAGTGTTTTGTATAATCATATGTATCATATTATTAAACCTCTCTGGTAGTAGTCACAAACAACAAAGAATAAGTGTGGAAAAAACCAGGTCGCACTCTCGAGAAGGAATCAAAGTTCAAACTCCAGAAAAAATGGAAATTGTCGAGAGGGCCCTCTAGTTGGTATAATGTTAGAGAAATAACTCATAACAAAGCCTGTACGGATAGCGTGATTAAGACCAAAAACCACCCTTATGACTGTCATCATAATAAATCTCTTTTAATAAATTAGTAAAACATAATTGAATTGTTAATTTAAAAATATATTGCGATTAAAGCCAATAAATTTGAATCCATATCTAATACCTAACGCATTAACATTGATTTAATAGCTGCAACTAGAGACCGCACATGAAGCTTGCGTTTTCTAGTGGGTGATAGTTGTGGTTTCACATGGAGTGTTAGAGCATTGGGGGCTAATAAAAGGGAAAATTTTAAATACACTACCCTTACATATTTTTATACTATTTTTTAAATTAAAATCAAAATTTTAGTTTGATAAGCAATTATATTGTACGAGTTATTAAAATAATTTTTTATATAAAATAACTCTAAAAATATTTAAATTACTATACTAAATTTTCTCACCATACACCCAACTACTAACACTCTTCTTTGCCTCGGCAGGAAATGTAGGAAAAGCGACAAATTTGGAGAAAGCAACGTGCATGCATGGAAAGTTATCCCAACGTTACTATAACACTTCAAGAGAAACAAAGGATCACATGTGGGAACCTATACTGTCGGTACTACTGTGTGAGTGGAGCCAGTATGGAGTTTTTTTTTTTTTTTTCTTACTTCATTAATTTCATTTAAACTATTTCAATAGAGAATCAAGATAATTGAGTCAGAGAAGTCAAAATTCTGATTCCATAAAAGACAAATCACTAATTGCAAGTTGAAAAGTTTTTTAATTCTACATTGAAACTCTTGAGCAAATAACTCCATATGCTCGATTTGAGCATGTTTGAAAATATGGCACTAGTATGGTCCAAGTAGATAGGTCTTAATGCTGCTTTTCTATGTAGTTGACTTCTTGCAACAGTGACCGAATTCGCCAGAGCATGTTCCTTATCTAGGTTGGAGGCACAGAAAATTGTAGCCATCAATTGTAAGTTGTATTATTATTATTATTACTTTGCCCGCTTTTGAAAGGTTTACATGTCTATTGAGCTTTAGTGTTGCATTGCAAGGATCAAGATAGTAAAGAAATGGTGATAATTGGTATCCGTGGATAGTATTATTATTTTTCAGATGCTTGTTATGATATCCATAAATTTGAGAAGATGATAGTGATTTTTTTAATATTTTAAAGATTAAAGAGTATTTATTTTATAAAAGCATAGAATGTCCTCTTCATTTAGGTAAAAATACTACTTTTTAATATATTTTAATAACATGAGGATGGTATTACACTTGTTTCCGGGCAATTATATTTCGAAAAAAAAAATACAAATGATGCACAGATCAATTATTTTTTGGGTGGCATTTGAAGTTTGAAGAATGTAATACTAATCACTTTCTTCTGCTTCATGTTCCACAGCCATTTCATTCATTGCGTTCAACTGCTCAAGGATAGCTGCTATGGAAGGAAATACTATAGCAAACAATAAAAGATTGTTCAAATTTAATTTTAGTCTTTCAACTTGCATCAAATTTTGATTCTAGTCTCTATAATATTTTTCCCCTTTCATCCCTATATTTTAATAAATTTATAATTTTAGTCCTTACTTATGTAACTTTATGAAAAAATTACGTCAGAAAATTTGACTTGACAACATCTAAATTATCCATCCAGAGCATTATTTAACATTAATTGGGGACCAAAACTACACTTTTTTAAAAATATAATTTTATAGGAACTAGAATCAAAATTCAGTAAATTTAGAGAAAATAAAAGTAAATTTAACCTATAAAAGATCTAACAGAAAAATTATACTTTACGGGGCCAATCCTTGAACCAAAATAAGGAAGAACAGCATGAGTTCTGTTTTCGAATTAGTGAGTTGAAAATACATCTGTACAGATGTTAAACATCTGTTTTACTTAGTCTTTTGTATAATTATCTCCATATACACAATAAGAGAATAAAAGAGTGGAAGTGATGTAAAGCAAAAAAAAAATGCACAACCTAATTTGTCAGGCTCCTTGAATAAGCACCTCCAAGATCAAAGTTATGAACCCCAAGCTGCATGTAAAGTGATTATCTGAGAATTTTATGTAAAGAGGCTTAGAGAACCTTCTAACTGAAATTTCAAATCATGCAAAATAATTTCTCCATTCCAGAAAGGTAATTTTCATAAGGAAATTTACGGTATTGTCAGGCAGCTAGATCATCGATGATTATATCTTTCTTAATTGAAGATACTGCTTCCAGTAGGGTAGGCTTCATCTATTTACTATTTATATGGACATGGCGTAGCATAACTGATATACTGTGCAGAGCGTAAGAGTCAGAGACTGAAGGCAGAACCTTCTTCCCTCTAATCCCATACGGTATCACTGGTTGAATCTCAATAAATATTGGAGGTGAAAGAACTTTGTACCTTCACCCTGTAATTCTACATTTCCTAATAAACTTATTAGAGATATTTACGTATCTACTCCATAACCTTCGAACCTGTGTGGAACCAATTTCAAGCCATGGCTTTGCAGGGCCACTGAAATGAACCACAGCGGCAGCTTCCAATCTCTCTTTGCTAATTTCCTCTGTTTGATAGCGATAACCCAAATCAGTCACAAGCATTGATGAATTTATAGGATGCACTTGACCCTCAAATGCAATCAAGGCAGGTGGAAGCACTCCTGGATTCCACAACGCAGTCTCAGAATTGAGATTCTGTGAAATCAAATAAATATAGATGTAAAAACACTATAGAAATTACTAAATTTACCATGCTTTGATTTTGTTGACGTACAAGTCCAGAATTCTCTCTACTGTATGACTTCTAAATTATTAAGCAGTTCTCACTAATGTTAGACGTGTATGCAGAATGTAATGCATTAAGACCAATTATTGTTTAACAGTGTGTAGAGGAGTTAAAACATCACATGAACATTTTAAATCACTCAGGTTCTTCACTGAGGGTGAGATACGCTTTATTGGAAAAATGGAAATTTAAACCTTGAGTCGCTAGTTTAATCTTGATGCATATGGAAGATTACCAAAATACATTAAATAGCCGAATGTAGAGGCTTCATTAAGCGCATTACATCAGCGTACACTTACAAGTTTCAACCATTGATGGTAGGTCTTCGTTATGTTTGTTTTCCGCCAAGCATCAAGATCAAATATATTCATGCCATAGAGCCATACACACTCATCACCGTCAAAGTTTGACGATATGAGAGGATGAGAAAAGTTCAAGTAGTTCACGTATTTGCTTCCGGGGCAGCAGTTGTCTCCACACCATGACTTGAATACAGAACCAATGGCTTTGCCATGAAGATTTAGTTCCCACAAAGAAGATATGTCATGTTGTACTACAACATCATCATCCAAGAATACTATCTTTTTGAGATCTGGAAACAGCTGTTGTGGACCACAAAAATAAGATGATGACACAATCATCGCCAAGAATTTAGACTTTTTATCAGTTATTACTCAATCAGAGGGCTACCAAAAATAACTAATTACCTCAGGCAAATAAATGCGGAGTTGATTCATCAAGGATAGGCTGTTGGGCCTTAAAGCCTCCACGTATCTGTTATGCTCCTGACTATGGTAGAGGTCCTTCTCCTTATTATAAAATTGCTTCCAAATTAAGTGATTAGTTTCCAGCATCTGTTTAACACCAGCATTCACTTCTTCAGACCAGTCATATTGGTGTAATCCCCTAACTTCCACCACTGCTGATTTAATAGAATTGGTGGCAAACCAAGCATGCATTGGAGCATAAGTTTTTTTGTCAGTAACAATATGAAAAACTAAATTCTCTGGGTTGATTGAACTTTCAACTGTTGAGGTTACAACAACAGAGGCAGCGAGGACATTGTCAGTAAGGAGAACCAGGTGGTGAAATGTAGGGTCAACAAGGCGAGATACAAATTCAGGAGGAGGTAGACGAGATCTGGCCATGGCATTTACAGCGTATTCTTCAGCCAACTTTAGACAAAGACAATGTAGACTTTTGGGAACACCATGAGACGCTAGATGCCAATAAACTGACTCTTGCTGTCTTGCTGATTGCACCTTGCGTTCCAACTTTGATAGCTGAATATATAAAGAAGAAATTGCATATTTTGTGAAAAGATTAAAACTTCACAAACTATGTTCAGTGAATTTAATATATGTAGCAAACAAGAACCTATGCTTCATTGGCAAACAATTGAATGAAGCAAACCACATACAGATAGATTTTGATTATGATGCTATCTTCACCTACATTCCTTATTCCTTATAATACTTATTTTAGAATTAATCAAACCAAAAGAATGCATATACTCTCTTAGGCTAGTCAGGAATTACCTCCAACTAAAGGTCCTTTTTAGAAAACCTCCTGTAATTCAAAACTCCACAACTCAACTCCCTAAACTTTCTACATCGTTCAGTGTAGTGAAAAGTTAACCCGTCCATGTGCAGAAAAGCCCTGGTAAAGAGTTAATATGTACAGTTTGATAGGTTGAAGATGACTTGTTCTGTTTTGAACCAGATGGACCTCTGAAATTGACTGAGTTGAAGGTAATTTCTTGCATTTTATCCTACATTTTACCTGGACCACTTTTACAGCATTTGAGCAAATGCCATAAATATTTATCAAAATTGGAAAATAAATAATCAATACTTTAAACTTCAATTCAACTCAGTACATTTCAGGTTAAGTTAACTTTTTATTACACATTCCTAATCTACATCCATGTTCTCTATAGACATCCAATTAGAACACATGTGCCTCAAACCATCAGTTGTGCAAGTTGTATCAATTTCCTTTCTTTTTGTTTTATGTTGTTTAACGGTGCAAGTGTCTGTGTTTTAGTGCACAATTATGATATGTTTATCTGTTAGTCGCGTTGGCTTCTCCTGATTTTCATTCCTGAAATGTGCACACTGACCTAAGCAATAGGTATATTGGGATAAGAATTTACCATATACGGCGCCTGATTGTTAATAAACATCAGAAGGAAACAAAAAAGGAGTCACTAGGAAAATGAAAACATTGATATCATTATCATAAAACTAGAAAAAGCAAACAGCAAGTTTTTATATACCATGGCTTTGGTCTTTAAAGCAAATGCCTTGAGGTCTTGTTTTGAGGTCATCTCTTTCACAAGTTCATTGAATGACTCGGCTCCTTCGTTAACGTTACCATCGTTTGCCTCTATTAGCGCTTTGGTCAGCTCATCTCTGAGTTCCTTCAAAGACATACATCACCATAGTAAAAAATAGAACATAAATTATCAATTTTTATTCTTAAAAATTTAAACGGGGCCCGGAGTCTAGAAACCGCGTTGACGATTACAGGAGAGTGCAAACCAAAGTTAACTGTTTCCCACATCATTCCAATTTTATATCACGACATTGCTCCTAATATCATGTTTAGGAAAGATTATTTTTTTCGAAAGTTTAATTTTCAAAAATTTTCTTAAGAAGTTGATAAAAATAAATGGACAATTTTGTAAAATAAATCGATTTAAACATGTAATTAATTGAACGATTACATAGATTAGAGACAAACGATCCCAGTAGTGAAGGTGCTTGTACAAAAAGGCAGAAGAGGAAGAAATAATTACCCTCCAAAATGGCATAGCCATGGCCCACAGGTAGCAGGAATGCAACTTGTGGAAGTTCCGACAATGCACCACCATTATAGTGGAAGCATTATTCTTTTTTTTTTTTTTTCTTATTTTTGTTTTAAAGGAAAAGAGGTTTTATTATGTACTGTTTCTCAATTTAGACATACTTAAACTAAGTGTTGATACATTATTTAAAAATAATGAATCTTCCAAGAAGCAATCGTCACCGTCTAGCCATTTTTTATAATAATACAATATAAATTATTTTTATGTAAAAAAGAAACTATGTGTCAAAATTACATCCAAACACAAATGTCATTTTTAACTCATTAGATGTTTAAATTATATATAATGTTCGCTTGTATTCTATATGTTAAATTAACCTATAGGTCTTTGAATAATTTAGAAATCTTTTCAAAAATTTCATACCTAAAATTTTAAAAATAAGTTCTTAAATTTTTAAATTAATTTTAATCGAAGTACTGAGCATATTTTTATTAAAGTTCTATTAGGATTTCACTAAATACAAAGATTTAGTTAAAAGAATTATTGGTTTAATATAATAATTAAATTTATGAGTTAATTCTTAAGTTGTTTAATTTTTTTAATTAAGTATCTGCATTTAATGAAACCATAATACATATACCTAATTAAAATTATTTAAAAATTCAAAGACTTAGTTATAAATTATCAAAATATCAGCCTTATTTAAAAGTTTTCATCTTAGAGATCTATAAATTAATCTAACCTATTTTATATTTCATAGTGTAACTTTAATTTTAATTATGTTGTACAGGTAAGCAAGTCAACTTTTTTATGGTAAGATAAATAGATGACCCATCCAAGCCATAACAAAGTAGGATAAATATACACTAAATACCTACTTTAGTCCATCAATTGTAAATGTCCATCACATTAGTTTATAATTTTACAGAAATCTTAATTTAGTTCTTATTTTTTAAAAAAATTAATCAGTTTAGTTTTATTTTATTTTATTTGTCTTTTTACAAAATAAAAATAAAAAAAGTTACAACTTGAAAGACTAAAGTGATTGTTCTCTCTCTCTCTCTCTCTCTCTCTCTCTCTCTCTCTCTCTATATATATATATATATATATATATATATATACGTGAGAAAATGTACCCCAAACAAATGATCGATTTAGGATTAGGTTTTTGTCGATATTCATTCTGTAACTTTTCCCTTGTCCTTACTCCTTTTATTACATAAATAACCCATCCTCTAGCATCTGACAAACAACTTTAACCACATGAAGCAAAGAATTCAAAAGCTGAGATATTTCGTTCACAAGATAATGGCAAGTCAAGAAAAGGAAAGAAAATTACTTTAAAAAAAAAAAAAAGATAAAACAAAAGTATCTCGTACTGGATGGATATGATCCATTCAAAGGCTGTCTAATTTTGTCAAAATAATGCTTGATGGTTGGAAGGACTGAGCTTCAGTTGGTGACAGATAGACAAACCCCTTTAATTATTTATTTATGGAATATTTCGCGGTACTGTATATTTAAGATCATTCATAAATCGACATAACAACTTAGTTCATTGTTGCAATTTTAGTTTATTTTGCGAGGGCCGCAATGTTTTATTTTATTCTATTTTAATATGTCTACTAAATACTCCCTTAATCTTGTAGAGATGGCTACAACTACAAGAAACTTCCATTTGTAAGATAGCCTTTACTCTTACGTTTGTGTCAAGTACAAAAGATAATTTTAAATACTTCGTCTTATTCTTTGGGTAAAACCTTATAATTATAATGAACTCTTTACTGTTATTTATATTCTTCACACTTAACCAAAAAAATTTGCAGATTAATTAATATAAACATAAAATAGAGAATCAAGTAAACATAAGCGAATGCGACCCAAATAGCATAAATTTTAGGTTTTACTTTTAAATATATTGAAATTGTCTCCGAACACAAATACTGACAAAATTCTAATAATTGTCCATTTGATAAAATATTACGTCAAACTTACCAAACATACAATATTACATTCTGTTTAGCCAATATCCAAATAAATTCTTATAATACAGTATTAGCTTTTTGTTAATATGCAGAGATTTTTTAATCCGTGGACGTTCACTACTAGTTGCCCTTTTTCAATAAATTAAATATCAATTACTTTTTTCAAATAGATTGCGGCCACCATATTTGAAAAAGGTACTTGACTTTTTTCTTAGGCAAAAATGGTTTAACGTTTAAAGAGTTTGAAATTGAAAAGTTGAATAAAGTTAATTTTAAATTGTTAACTATAATTAAAATATGTATTGAAATTAATAGTAACATAATATTTTACATTAAAATATGCATATGATGTAGGAAATTGATTTTTTACGTAAAGCAAACAGAAACTATTTGATGAATTTGAAATTAAGAAACCTACAAGACCATTCACACTAGGTAAAATGATTTTTTTTTTTAAAAGTAGTTTACATTATAACTGATTGAAAGCTATAGTTGGTGTATCTTTTGATGTCACAATGTTTGTATTAAACAGGAATTTTCATAAAAAATATTAAAAGTCTGCGTCTTAATAAATTTCTAATTCTAAATATTGAGTTGAGTTAATTAGAGGGGGGCAAGGGAATCAAGTAACGAATGAGGAAAACATATTAAAACATGGTTAAAATATAAAGAAAATAAGAAGGGTAATTTAGTAAATGAGATACTTACCAGTGACGTGTCAACCCCACTGAAAATCCTCCACCCAGCACACTCTGCAACAATCATTTTCGCCGATACGCTCTAATCAACATCTCAATAAATGAATTTATCCCTTCTACTATTTTTTATTTTTTTAACGCATTTAATCATTATAAACCCAAACGAGCAAAATTTCTGAAAATGCAAATTATTAAATGAAAAGCTTTAAAAACATCAAAAGTTAATTCTTCAGAAAGAAAATCCTTCTCTTCGGACTTCGGTAGTCTCCGAAAATGCAAATTCAGACAGAAAAAAAAAATACTATTCGAAACGGATAATTTCAATTATATTTTTTTCAAATAAACTTAATTTCAAATTAGTATGTAAAGACATATTTTCCAATTTCAATAAATTGAATTCTAATACATTTGCAACATGTTTCAACTTTTACAACTTTTATATATTTCCAAATTTAAAACAATATTTATCAAATAAATACAATTACACAAAATGTAAAATTAAAAGAAATTATTTTAAAAAAAAACTTCAATTTTCACTCAAATTTAAACATTACAACTCGTATTTAAATATTTTAAAAAATAAATTACTAATTTACAGATATTTAATAAAATTTAATTAAATTAATATTAGAGTAAGAATCAACACACAAATGTTAAGGAAATAATATCTATATCACATTTTAAACGAGTAAGCAGAAACCGTGATTCTCTCCTGTTTAAGCGCGAAAGCACAAGCAAAATTTTGTATTTTTATTTAAATAAAAATATTTAATTTAACCAAAAATACAAAATTAACGTTAACGTCCAATTACGGAAGAGAATCGGGTCCGACTAAATAGTGGCCAGAAAGAGTAATTATTGTGAAATAAAAAAAATTTAAAATAGAAAAAGTTTACAAAACATGTCTTTTTCTGCTGGTTTACTGAACCCAAAAGAGTTACTGAAGTAACTGGAGTGAGAGTGAAAATGGTAAGATAAAATAATTGAAAAGGTGAAAATAGATTACCCAATGAAGAACAAGCCGCAGCTGATTCGAGCATCAAGATCGCGATCCTTACGAAGAGAAACGGCAACACGATCCCTACCACCAACACCACCGGAAGCACCGTGCGAGCCGAAATCCGGCGACCGGAGGCGCTTCCGGTTGTCGCCGTTGTCGTCTTTGCCGATCCTTTTCCGGCGCCGGTACCGTTCGATATCGTCACTCTCTTTATTCCCTTCGTTGATATGTAGAACTTCATCTCATCGATTCCATTAATCAATCTAACTCCTCTACTCTTTGTGTCTATGTCCTTCTTCTTCGGATCGATTCAGCTTCTTTGATTCTTCATTGCTTCGAGATCTGAAGCTTCATTGCCTCTCTCTGCTTCCTCACTGGTTTAGTCGAGAGAGAGAAGGAGTAGAGTATTCGTGTTAGCGTGTTTAGGAAAGAGAGAGAGAGAGAGAGAAATTGCATTTGAAGCAGGGAAAAAGAGTTCACGGGTTTCGAATTTTTCTTTTTTATTTATTTTCTTTTCTTAGTTTCTACGGCGAAATCAATTTTCCCCGAGAAAGAAGAGCGAGAAAAGAAAATTTGATTTTAAATTTTTAATAATAAAAATAGAAAAAAATTGCTGTGAGAGAAAGTGCAAAGCCGCGTTTAATGCCGCGGGAAATTATTAGATTGCAATGGACACGTTAGCTATTTATATGAGGGTGAACTATGATATTACTCTCTTGCCACTGGGTTTTCGAGTTATTTACGGTTTTGACATTAACTCGTTATCTCGCCGACACCTATGTTACGTGGCTTGGATCGGATTCAATGTCTTTGTGAGGTCGCTTGTAGAGCATTGTTTTCTTTCTGCAACGGAATTATTACACTTTTCAAGATAAAATCAAACCTTTTAATTATGAATCAAAAAATTAAAATCAAACCTTTTAATTCAATTTTTTGAAAAATATTTTTTCCTGATGAAAAAAGTATTTTTAATTTCAATGCAAGTAGTGTTAACGAAACGTTTGTAAAAATTTATGATAATTTGTGAAAATGATTTACAATTTTTGAATTTGTTTTAATAAATTTTATAATCAAAATTAAATTATAAATTTTATCATAAAAAATTATTAAATAAATTATTAATTAATTTATTTATTTAAATATATTTTAAATAATTGAAAATAATAATAATAAATTACTTTTCATATTCTTTTTAATCTTTTTTAAAAAGTAGTATATTATAGAATATCAAACTCAAATTTCTTATTCATAAATTAACACACCAAATTTACTATAAGAGATTAATGCTTTTTTATATTAAATAAAACATATGATAATGTATAACTTTTGTAATAATTATTTTTAAAAGTATATATAAAATAAAATTTATACAGTTGACTATATAAAAATTATATTATTATTATTTCGCCATGTCAATGTTACACATCCATATCCATAATTTTCACTATTTTGCCCGATTGCAACAGTTGTTTGGTATACAAGAATGGAATAGGGAGTCCAATTGATGTATAAAATATGAGGTCGGAGTTCCAAGTTCAAAAGCTCAATTATTTTCTCAAAGTGCGTTACAACCCTCAAATTAATTTCATGTACTATATATTAATTAACGTTAATAAAGACACATATATAAAAAAAAAATTGATAAAACATTATTGTAATAGTTATATACAAATACATTTTATGCTTTAATGTGAACTGAAGAAATTGTCAAAAAATACTTTTTTTTATTGCATCTTAAAAATAGTGATGTGTCCAGGGAAGCTAGACAATGGTTCTCTAATTGTGCACAATTAAAAGTACAAGTTTTAGTTATAATAGTGCCTGTGGATTGTTAAAATGTTGCTTATGTTGGAGCACCAAAAAGGAAGAGTGCAAGCTCTAGCAAACTCTCACTGCCAAGAAAGTTGCCACCTCCTTAATTTTTTTTTATTTTAAGGAATTATATAATATCATAAAAATGATTTAAAATATTAATATATTTAATTATATTCATATATTATTTTATATTTTTTTAAAATATAGAATTGAATAATATTAATCAGAACCTGCGCCCTCCCCCTTTTGCCACGTGTTTTCTCATTTATTGTCTTTTACATTTTGGTAAATTGGTGTGGTGATGGAAAGTTTTAGGTTTTGTTAAGCATTTTGGTGTTCATATGGTTTTAATTAGGTTGCACTTTGAGTTTGTAATCAACATACCAGAATGGTGTTGCTGTTTTTTGTTACATGCATGTTGCTTGAATGAACATATTTATAATCAACCATGCCTTTACCTTAACATCTTAATAATTTTATTTTATTTTTTGTTCTCAAGCACGAAGAATGTTATAGTTAAAATTATGCAAATTAATAAAAGTAATTAAAAACAATTGAATTTTTTTATTTTATAACGTCATTTTATCTTCATTTAATATTATTCAATCTAATTTTACTATCAATATTTATCTTTTTAATTTTGATTTGCATTTCTCCCGACTTCATTATTAAGGGGCAAATAAAAAAAAAACACGTTAAATAGTAAATACATAATAAAAATTATAAAATGTCTTATAAAAATCACTAAAAATTTTAGAACCCTTTATATGTTTTTTTTATATATATATATATAAAAAGTCCTTTCTAGCTTAACGTAAATATCCTTTTTTTCCAATTTCTTGTCTAACTCCTCGCCATTGCTCTATAATTAAAAATAAGCTAGATTAAGATTATTCTTATGTAACGTGGCTATTTTTTTTTATCTTTTTTAAATTTTGTAATTTATGTGTTAAAATTAAAACTCAATTTAATACTTGTGTGTACATTCTTAGAAGTGATAATGTTAAAGAATATTTTTTGCATCATTAACTAGTTTTACGAGTAAACATGACATACTTCATCAGTCCTCTTGTATTGTTACCCTATAACAAAATGGGTTAGTTAAACGTAAAAATTGTCATCTTATAGAAGTAGCTTATACTCTAATGTTTGAAATGAAAGTTTTTAAACTTTTTTGGGCTGATGTTGTTCTGATTGTTGCATATTTAATTAATCGCATGTCATAATCTGTGTTACATGGTGAGATTCTCTACTCTATACTTTTCCTATTACAATCTCTTTTTTCTTTACCTCCTAAAGTTTTTGACTACACTTGTTTTGTGTTTGATGTTTGTCTTCAAGTAACTAAACTTGATCCAAAGTTCCTAAAATGTGTGTTTTTGGGTTATTCTCGGTCACAAACAGGTTACCGTTGTTTTTCTTTTGATCTTGGTCGTTATCTTATTTCCTCTAATATGTCTTTTTTGAAAGATTTTCATTCTTTAAGTCCTTGTCTTCTGAGTACATATATGAGGTAGATGAACCTTTCTTCACTTACACTATTGTCCAATCTACACATTCTGTTGTACTGTAACTCCTGTTAATGCAAGTTTCAAGTTCTTTGAGCGAACATACTCTTGCCGACCGAAACAACCTTCAGACGATGTGCCCCTGTGCTTAATGATATTTAAGATGGTACTCAACCTCTACCATTATCTTCTCTCAAGTGTTAACAAATCCTATGTCTGACCTTGACCTTCCTATTGCTATTCGTAAAGGTAAAAGATCTTGTACCTATTTTATTTCATCTTATGTGATGTCTACTCATTTATCCTTTATGTCTAAATCTTTCATGGCTGATGTAGACTCTCTTTCTATTCATAAGACCCTTGTAGATGTCCTCAATCATGATGGTTAGCGATATGCTATAGTGGAAGAAATGTTGACTCTTGAGACGAATGATACTTGAGATTTGGTTCCTCTTCCCAAGGAAAAATAAGCTATTAGTTGCAAGGGGGTTTATAGTGTGAAAATTAATATGGATGCTTCTGTGGCTCCTCTGAAGCATGACTTGTTGCAAAAAGGTATGCCTAAATTTATGGCGTTGACTACATTGATACATTTTCTCTAGTTGCTAAACTCTCATCTATTTGCATCTTCATCTTTCTTGCGGCTATGCATCATTGGCCATTATTCCAGTTAGATGTCAAGAATGCATTCTTACATAGAGACTTACTAGAGGAGGTGTACATAAAGCAACTAACTGGCTTTGTTTTACATCTTCAATGACGTGATTCTAGAATTTGAATTAGTGAGGAGTGAGAGAGATCATACAATGTTTTGCAAAAAATTGACCTTGGTTGCAACCTAAGGAAATTTCTTCAAACCAAGTTTCAGACAAAAGACTTAGGAATTCTGAAATACTTCTTGAGCATTGAAGTCATGTACTTCAAGCAAGGAATTTTTCTTTCACAAAGAAAATATGTCTTAGACTTATTGACTAAGACCGAACTAAAAGGAACTAAACCATGTGAGACACTTATGGAGTCAGGAGTGAAACTGACAACAGATGGAATTCCTTTTGTGGATCCACAGAAATATAGAAAATTAGTGGGCAAGCTGAATTACTTGACTATCACAAGGTCGGATATTGCTTTTCCAAAGAGTGTTGTTAGCCAGTTTATGTCATCTCCGATAGATACTTATTAGGAAGCACTAATTCGCATTGTGAAGTATTTGAAGAAAGCACAAGGAAAAGGAATTGTGTAAGATTATGGACATGCACAAATAGAGGTGTTTTCTGATGCTGATTGGGGAGGACCTGTGGACAAAAAATCTACTACCAAATATTGTATGTTCTTGGAAGATAATTTAATTTCATAAAATAGTAAGAAGTAAAACGTATTGAGATTGAGTGCGAAATCAGAATAAAAGACAATAGCTCAGACTACTTGTGAGTTAATGTGGTTGAAACATATGTTAGAAAAGATAGGATTTTGCAGCACTAAACCTATGCAATTTTGGTGTAATAACCAAGCAGCGATATACATTGCCTCAAATCCAGTTTTTCATGAACGGACAAAACATATTCAGATAGATTATCACTTTATTCAAGGAAAAGTTTAACAGAAGCTTATATCTATTTCTCACTACATGAGCCCAACATCCATGGTTAGTGTGAAAGTGCATCGTAGAGAAAAATAGTGACACTAGAGCCCTAGCAGAGAGCTAGTGGCACTTACGTGCAGAGGATGTGGAGCCCAAAAAGTGTCGTTGAGTGGACGACAACCCATGTGGAAGAGAGCAAGGGTTGCTTTGATGTAAACCATAGATACTCGTGATGAAAAAAACTTTTGTTGTGGAGGAGGCCAATATGGAATAGATAGATTCACACTTGAGGAGAAGTGTTGAAGTCAAGTATGAATTAGTCTCATTTCATATAGATAGATTCACACTTGAGAGGGAGTGTTGGAGTTAAGTGTGAATTAATCTCACATGGGATATGAGCAAGTTAGGGGTCTTTAAGGAGATGGACTCATGTACCTATTGCCTTAAGATTTTAGGGTTGCATTGTAGTATTCTATTCATTGTGAGGCTCCCTACCTAAGAACTTTGTACCCTAAGGCACTCATGGTCAATGTGAGAGTGCACTGTAGAAAAAATAGTGACACTAGATGAGCCTTAGTAGAAAGCTGGTGGCACCCACGTACGAAGGGTGGAGCCCAACACCTCACATGGAAAAGAGCGAGGGTAGTGGAAGAGTGCACCGTAAAGGAAACAGTGACACTAGATGAGTAGACCATGGATACTTGAGAAGTGTATAAAATATGGGCAAGTTAGGGGTCTATAAAAAGATGAACCCATGC